AGATTTCAATGTGTCAGTAGTTTGTGAAATTATGTTAGTGACAGACAGGCAAACATAAAAAATGAATCCTATGTTTCCTCATTAAAGTATATCTATACTTTTCTTTATCTCTGTTCAACACAGACACATACTTTTATTAATAGATGTATTTAGTAGAAGGCCAATGGGAATTTTAGCAGAGAAGATAGGATATTATATGTAGAAGAAAAAGTTATTTCAATAGAATAATCTGAAAAATGACTCCTGGTTTTGAAACAAACCTGACAAGTTTCTTGGGGAATATATGTGTATCTGAGTCATGCAAATCATTTTTAGTAAGAATTTGTTTATCTGTTTTATCTTTGATGTGTGCCCAGAAAAGCAATCTTAATATCTTGTATCAGTGAGAGTGAGGATTGTTATAGTGAAGTAGGTACATTGGAGGTTTTGAGAAGCCAAGTAGCATTATTATCTATTTGATTAGCCCCCTGAGAAAAACCTACTTTTCTATCTGCCATTAGCACTAATCTCTGAGCATCTTCCTCACCTTGGATACAAATTCAGATTTAGCCCCAAGATCATTGGAAATTGTTCTGAGTTTCCATAAAACATTTGGAATCTAGCCAGGTTCGGGTCTTCTGAACACTCTTATATTCTCATTTTTACCTGAATGAATTTGCACATTTTTGCCTCCAGCTGTGACTAATGACTTAGAGATTAAGTGGACTGAGGTATTTGACAAACTCAAGGGAAATAACCACAATCTATTATTATTGCCTTTCTGGTTGATTTTACAAATTAACATTTTAAAAAAATAAAAATCTATAAATATGCAATTTACATATACAAAATTCCGCTCCAAAATTAATTCAGTCAAAAATGCCTACGTCTATATATACTTTCTGTAGTTCAAAACTAAGCCTGTTTATTAGTAAGCCTATATATGATTATCTATTTCTGGTGCAGGTTTAAAGCTTCCTGTTGGATCACCAAAGTTAAGCAATGTTGAGCCTGGTCAGTACCAAGATGAATGACCACTTGGAAATATCAGGTGCTGTAATCTTGGATATGTGGGTGGTGTAATGGATAATGGCTCAGAATTGTTAATCAATGAACCAAGTTCCAATTCCAGTTGGGTTCAGTATATTCACTTACACGCAAATATCCTTGAGAAAGGTATGGATGCACCTCTTCTCTCCCCAACTATGAGTTAATTAGTAAAACTTGTATCACTATTCAAACCTTCTTTATAAAAATACATCAATGAAACCTGATCTCCTACAAAGTGATTTCTTACAAAGAATACTTATTTTATTCATACAAATTTATTCTAAAAATCTTATCAGCATTAAATAACCTATTCAGGTGTTGATATGCCACAAAACAAAATAAACCCAAACCATATTTCTGGTGCAGTTTATATACAAATTAAATATAAAGTGATGCATCTTGTGAATACTACTGCTATTAATGCTGTAGAGAGAGTGCTGAAAACATCCATTTTTAAAAAATTTAAACAAATGACTAAAATTCAGAATTTTTTTGGAATGCATTTTTGATTAAGACAAAAACTCTTCACTACTTATTTTTACAGCTGGTAATACTTGTGGATACTAATAATATTTCATATTATTTCACTGTCATGTCACATAAGTTAATTTTCTGCTGAAAAAAAATGTTAGTCTTTTCAGTATATATCTCTATACAAACATGAATAACAGTTTGCACAGAGTAAAAACAGCTTTTGCTCATAGCTTAAAATCCCTTAGCATTGAACCTTATATCAGTTATAAAATCCCTTAGTATTCATTCTTATATCCGATGATTATACAATGGTTAGATTAACTTTCAGGACAAAACTCTCCAAAGAGGTCAACTTGAAACCAAAATAAGCAGTTCTATTTATGCTCATCAAGAGACAATAGGTTTCCTCAGATGACATCATTGAACATTATACAAAAAATGAAAACTTTCTGTCAGAGTAAAGAACAGATCAAAGAAAATTCAGTTAGACAAACAAAGTAAAATTAATACATTCAGTATTTTTAAAATAAGAGGTATTGCTTTATGATTGGTGAAAAACCAAAGTAATGTGGAACTTAGCAGAAAGATGTTGATCAGAATAGTGGCTCTGGTTTTGAATAATGAAAAGCTTAAATGAAATATCTTAATTTTGAACTAGGTTTCTTTTAAAGGAGTTTCATTCCACATAAGCTAATCTTACTTTGTCTATATGTCCATTAACATTCTCACAAAATGTTTATAATTATATTAAACATACATGCATATATAAGATTGTTTAAAGTAAAATCATTTGATGAATTGAAAAATACAACCATAAAAAAAAAAAAACAAGTAAAGACAATTTTTCTTGTCATTTTTAGTAGCAATAATTTTTTTTGTAGATTTAAGTACACATGTACAAACATGTAATAGTAAAATCTTTTCAAGAAAGTGAAAAAATAAGATGCATGATTATTTATACAGTCCCTTTTATATTCTTCCAGATGAAGTAAAACCTTTGATAAATTCATTTCAAAGAGAACACAAGACAATATTGTTCTTACCATATGAATTTTGAACAACCAAATGAGTCAATTTGGTAAAAAAAGAAAAACGTTATTGTTAGGTAGCTTTTACCTGTATTGTACTTTTCCTGGTGAAATTGGCAAAAGATTGCTTTAATACATTTGTTTCTTGATTCTTGTTTTAAAAACAATTAAATGACAAAAATCAAACTTTATATTGATGTTAATGTTAGTCCTAGAACTGAGAAATTTAATGTTAAATTCATTATTTCTTTATTCAATTTATTTGCAATCAGATCAAGGATTTTTTTTTTCATTTTTAGTAAACTTTATTATTTTAACAGAAATGAATATCGATTTGAAATTTGATATAATTTTAGTGAATATCAAATTTTTAATTTTCTTTAATAAGTAATTAAGTTATTAATTTCTAATTTTAATAAAAGGTGAAAAATAAGTGTTGAAAAATATTTTAATAACAGTTTGAAACCCTTCAAATTCATAGAATTTTAAACATTCATTCATTAAAATCAATAACAAATTATTAGGACAGAAATAGGAACTTTTGAAAAAGACTTATTCTCATTGGCTACCATGGTCTTTGCCTGCCTTCTCAGATTAGTAGTGAAATGGAAAATTGCATGTACATGTGTGCAATTTGTATGGGAAGATGTTTTGAAACTCAAACCATCCATGAAAATATTTGCATAAAATACTTAAGATATTTTTGTTCAGTAACATTTTAAACATGAAAATTTAGAAAGAAGAAATTTCTGTCTATCACTTGTGCCATTATGTTCATGTTCATCTACTTATTCCCCATTTCTGTGCTTAAGTGCTCAGAGGTAAATCATTAATAACCTATTTTATATTTATTACTAGATTTAATAAAATTTTCCCAATATTGGAGAACTTAGTTTTAACTTAATTAAATTATTTCAAAGAATGAATGAACATATACAACCTGAGAGGTAATTTAAAGAGCTGGAGATTTATGAACAAACTTAGAAAATATTGTTAAATTTCTGCTGTTGTATTCTGTATGGTTTTCACAGGTGTGTTCTATTTCTAGTTATTTTTATTAACACTCCACAGTTAACCAGCTAGATCTTACTTTTGCTATAGACTAGTAGACCACAAGAAACTGCTAAATACAGTTACCTCTTCTTGACAGAAATTATATGATCTTTATTTAGCTGTTGGCAAGAGGAGCTTCTTTGCCTTTTGGATCCTCTCTTTTTTAACTCATTTTTAAAAAAGAAATACTAATTGCCTTCAATGCTCCTTAACCATAACACTGCTTTCTGATTATAACATCCAAGTAATTATAACTTTCAAGAATACAAGAAATATTTCTCATGTGTAATTTCACACAATTAGAGTTTATGAGGCTATGACAATCTCATCTATTTTTTTTTCCTTTTTGCATTATTCTTTTTATTACTATAGAAATAAATTCATAGAATGAACACTTCATATAACTGTTCTTTAAGAGTTTAACTTTGGATTTTTTTTTTTACTTGTCTCTGAATCATCTTTACCAAAACTTTGCTCAATTGAAATGATGGTACTCTCAAATTTTACTGATTTTACTTTTAGCAAGAATCTGCATTTTCTTACATAAACATAACAGTCAAGCCTACACTGGTTTAGAAAAAGAAAGAAAAAAGAATTCAAGTGTGTCTTTATGGTTGTCTAGAATCAAAAGAGATCATATCAAAAATATACACTCCAAGGGAGGGAGGAAAAAAAAAAACAAATAACCCCCGCCACCACTCACCTTTATAATTTAAATGCATTCTTTGCAATGCGTTGCACAAGATCATAGCATTTTAAAATCAAGTTTGACAGCAGTAAATTTTTAATTTGAGCTTGTAAATATAAAATTCCCATACTTAGTCCAGGAGTTTGAAACTATTCCAAGATTTCATTAGATATTCATGGATTAAAGCCTAAGCCAAATAGCTTAAGTAAGATTTTTGTATGGGGGTGAGGGAAGTAGCAATATGATGTACCTCTTGCATATAACAGATTTTTAAAGTATCCAAGAGAAAAAAATAACCTTTCTTTTCAAATGCGTTATGTTTTACTGCATTATGTGTTGTATCCCCTTCAAGATGTAGACAATCATGGCTCTCCACAATTTGCTGCATTAGTCCAATAAACCAGAGTATCAGGATGGCAAAAGACCTCCCATACATCCTGACATTTTCTAAATGATCTAATCATAAAAGTAACACATACATTTACAAAAACCTGAAATAATAGCGATAAATCAAAAATAATTTAGTTTTTTTTTTTTTTTTTTAATTGATCTTATGTGATCAATTAGAGCTTTTATAAGAATCTTTACTTTTAGGTTCTTCAAGAAACCTATCCCTTTTTTCAGGGGCTTTAATTCTGTCAAAGAAACCCAATGACAAGTGGTTTGTTTCGAGTGAAGCATAAATTTCAGTAGCCATTTTGTTTTTAAATCAGTTCCTTTATTTTCAGGTCGAAGAAAACAAAAAATGGGAATGAAATCTCCAACACAATCAGGTATGAATTGTTAAGCCCTCCTCCATAATAATAATAAAAAAAAAAACTTCCCTTTAGAATAGAAAAAAAAAAAAAAATTACCCAGTAGCTAAAAAAGCACTTTAAAGATTTTTTTTTTTTATTCATTTTGTTTATATTTTTATGTTGTATATTTTCCTTTTTTGTTTTTTTACTTTCATTATTTCCTTTTATTTATTTGGGTTTTTTTTTTTTTTTATTTTAATTGATTTTTTAAATGAAAAATTACAGACTACTGATTTATGCCATATTCTGTTAGGAAAAATTTAAATGTAGATCTTAATTCATGATTTCTCATGAAGTTCTGTTCCGTTTTCTACAGTGTTGAAAAGAAAAAAAAAAATAAAGTACAATCTCAGAAATTAATAAACCTCTGTCTGCAATATAGTATCATAATAGAAAAGAAATTACACTTATCAAAATTTATTTTGAAACTGAAAGAATTTGGTTGATCAGTTCCTTATTCAATATAGCCTTACAAAAAAAAAATTTTTTAATTTCAACTAATTTTTTTCATAATTGATTGGTTTGTTTTTATGGCTTATCAACCCTTTGTAGGTTATTTAAAGCCAAAACATATTTTGGGAATTGTAAGACTAATTTTGTTTTTGTTTGCAAGAGAATATTGCATTAACAAGAGTTTTTCGAAATACAAGTTCTACTATTTAACCAATAGCTGGAGGGAGACGTACAAGGTGCAATGGATGAATTCTCATCTAAATTACACAAAAATGAAAATAACACTGACATCTCATTTTAACAGATATATTTACCAAAATTACACAAAAATATCTTGAAATACTAAAGAGTAAATTTATTCAATAAAATTGATATTGGCTTCAACCACAGCCTCCAGATGACTTCAGAATCTCCTGCAACCCTTCTGGACGGTCTCCTTGTTTAAGTTGGTGAATGCTGCTATAATCCTTGCCTTTAGTTCATCTTTGACGTTACAGGGAATTTTGTTGGTCTCTCACTCAACTGTGCCCCACATATAAGAGGGTTGCAGTCTGGGGAGTTAGGTGGCCAGATATAAGGGGTGATGTGGTTGCAGAAATTGTCTGACAGCCATGACTAGGTTTTGCTGCTTGTGCAGCAGAGTACCATTGCCAAACATAGGGTCTTCCAGCTGCCACTCTCTTGACCGAGGGCAGCACTACCTTTTTGTAGGCCTTGAGTCCGAGGCCCTGTAGGAAGACAAATGAAGACATAATGTCACCATCACTAGTGACCATTCCAAACACCTTCATAATCACCATTAGACTCATCCAACTCTTTCCAAAACCTCTGCACTATCCTCAGATTGACATCCAAACACTCTTGTAATGTTCATACTGGAGTTTCTAGCACAAATGTCAGGCAGTACAGCAGCCATTTCCAAATTTCTGGCAGAGTGAATTGTGTCATGGTGTTCTTTTTCTCATAGATGGTTCCCAACTGACCCTACTATGCTGCGCAGTTGACAAAAATCAAAAACAAACAACACACATACACAAAATTAAAAAATATAAAATGGCGACAATTTTCCCATCGCACTATGTATTTATAACTTTCTGAAGGTTTATCTGAGTATAAGTGCATGTAACAAACTTGACTAGAATTTGAGCTTGGCTCTCCAATTTCTCATTCCAAGCCACTATCCATTATACCACCCACACATACTTTTTTTTTTTCATTAAATACTTTTCATTCCCATTTTAATGCTTATTGTCTTATTTAACAGATTACTTTTTTTCTTATGATATAGAATAAAGACTAAATATATCAACTCCAGCTAAAAATGAAAATCTTCTGTAAGGCTGTTTTTGTTCTGATCAAATAGAATTTTTTGGCTAAAAGGTGTTTTGTTTAAAGTGATTTTATTTTGTATTTTTTCTTTAGTACTTTGAAGTGCTTATTCTAACTGACTTTTAACAGCTGTTATAAGACTAAGCAAGAAAGAAGCAAGGTAACTTAAGTTGAACTACCAAAACAATTTTGATAGGCAGACCATATTTCAGAACGCTTTTGTCATTCAAATCTAAGTATTACTAAAAACTAGGCTTTTTCAGTAGAATAAAATTTTTTGAGCAGATTTTAAATAAATTGCAATGAAAAGATACATCTAACTTTTATGATTACATACAGATTGTTTTAAAGCAAACAAAATATTAAGACATTTTTTGCTGTTGTCTTGTAGCAATTTCTTTTGGCAGGGGTGAGGAAGTCACATTCTCTTTTCTTTTTTTTCTGAGTAACAGAAAGAAATAATTTGTTCTCAAGGTTAAAAGGGAAAATATTTATATCATGCTTGAAATCTTGTTGATAACTGACATGCTCTGTCACTTGAATGAAGTTGAGAATCTTCCAACAAAAATCCCGTAACAAGAATACAGAAATGATGATTGACACTTCTTAACATTAATATCAAAAGCCCAAGCAATTTTTTTTATTGTTTATTAATCCGACTTTCTTCACTGATGACATAAAGTCAGCACTCACCCATTGATCAGTCTTGCTTTTTCCTAAGAGCACCACTTATCTATGTAAAAGACATGTCAATGCTCACACAAGCTTGTTTCTCATCAAATACCTTTGTAAACTCCTTGTTAAATCTTGTATTTTCTGTTCAATGTCACACATGTGTGCATGTTGCCTGACTGGGGGAGGGTACATTTATATTACCATCTGTTTGACATCTGTAATTGAATATAACATTTACACATATACTTGAATTTATACAACTTATTTCACAGGATCAAACTAAAAAGAGGTATATTTTTTCAGTTAAAAATAACAGTACTTGCACAGTAAGGGATGCAAGTAACAAGAAAGAATGATATAAAAACTTCAAAACATTACTAATTATAAATCATTACACATGAAATTATCAATACAAGAACACATTATTTTATGAAAGTCTTTGACTTGAGCTTAAGATCAGTATCTTTCTCCTGATTGTTTTTGTAAGTCTATAGTTTACCTAAGACAGATTACTAATGGATATATAAGAATACTATAATTTTGTAATCAATTAAAAAGAAATTCAGCATTTTCTACAATAAGATTTTTCTTGAGAAAACCCTATCTACAAGTTGTAACTCAAAAGTGAAAAAATATTTGTTGAGCTACAACAGATTTAAATAACTTAAAATTAAAGCAATCACTGTTAAATTCATTTCATGCTGTTATTTGCTTTAGTTTCTAAATAGTTGCATGTGTTTTGTTTAACAATTTTATTTAAAAAAAAAAAACAAAAAAAAACACATACTCCAAAGGTTTAGCTTACTTACCTAAGGTTGTATTTCTAGCAATTATTTTCTATTATAGATATTTCTTAAGTGTGTACATAATGCTCAGAGTAAGTTTTGTGGATTCAGTTACAAATAAATTTCGAATCATTTTTAATTTCTTTGGAAATAAAGAAAAAGATGAAAATATTCATGTTACAATGATAATAATTCTCTTGTTTCATATATTTTATTTATTTTGAAATTAACAACATTAAACAGTATGCTATTTTTAGAGAATTTACATGAAAGATTATTATTTTTACTCTTAATTGGTCATGCATAAAAGCTTTCTCTTCAAACTACAAATACTCAGATAATACAAAGGACTTGGTCTAAACTAAATTAAAAAAAGCAAAACATTTTGTACTATGAACATTTTTTGCAATTATAATTTTTTTTGTATAAGGTTTTATAACCAAATACTGTTTCCAAAACATTGAGTCATCAGAAAGATGCAGATGGAATTTTTATTTTTATTCACTTCCCAGCATCTTGCTGAAGATGCAACCAATTCAGGTTTTTCTATTTTTTTTATTGTTGTAAAGTCTCTTAATTTTTCAATATATTTAATGCTTTATTGCCCCCTACACATGCACACACATCGTTCTCTTTCAGATATTGCCCTTTATATTACAAATACCTGCTGTTCAATGAAGCTTCATCATTTCAAAATCCTCACATATCTTATGCTCCTATTAACTTTTCATCAGATACATAAGGTCTCGTGCCAGGTAATGGGCAATGCCCCTTTTTCTTGGATGCTCTCAATTTAAAGCAATAGAAAATATTTTGCTCCAGTGGTGAGATATGTTCTGCATATCATATTACCTGCATTTGCTCCATTGCCTCACTGCAGGATCTATAAAAACACGTTTTTCAATGTGGTTCATGTCTGGGTTTCATTCAGGCTGTCTTTAATTAATTCTCTCTAATTTGGCATGAAGAAACAACACTGCTCTTTTCACTCAGTATTTTCCTAATATTTATACCCAGAAACAACCCAGCTCCCAATGGGATATGCGTCTTCACCAAAAATCAGCAACTCTTTTCTGAAAAGAAATTTCTATAATCTTCAAGGAAGTTAACAATTGAATTCAGTTCCTTATCTAAAAGAACTCATTTGATTTTATTGTTTATTAGTTATTCAACATCTCCTTTATATGTAACATCATTAAATAAACTGTGTTCTTTCTCATTTGTTTAAAGGAAAAAAAGATTCTAAATCATACAAAAGAAAAATCCTCTTTACTTAAAAGAAACTGTTGATCCGACATAACTTGTCAAATTTAAAATACAATGAGATTCTTTATTATGACTCACTAAAGAACAGTTCTATGAACAGTAGATTTTATTTGCTTTATATAAAAACTGCAAGCAGACATGAATTTTCATATCTGAAACATGAAACTGTTAGTAAATTGCTACAATATCTCTTCATCCTTTGTGTTTAATAATCAAATATTTAATCTTCTTATTCAGCACCAATTATTTTTATAGCCACAAGGTTTTCAAAAGAAAAAAGGTGCGGCAGTTTTGTCAGGAATGTCACATGAGAACTCTAAGGTCCTTAACCAATTGTAAAATGCTGATACTAAAATATTCAAAACCATCTAATATAATTCCATCTTGATACAGGTTAAAAATGTTTTTCTAATATAACATTGTGAAAGAATAAAAATAATAAAAACAAAAAATCCTGGTTATTATTAGAATCTATTGATTATTTTAGTAGAAGATAATATTTTAGGAAATTTTCTGGTTTCAAAATTTTCCATATCTCCACTCTCTCACACACAGATATAAGGTCCAACGTCAAGCCAAGTGATGCTCACTATAATGCTTTTTATTTCAGCTGCCAACACTATATACTCAGTCTATAAATATTGGAAAGATTATATAAATAATGGTCATGCAACATTGAAAATTTTTAATGCTAAAAACATGTGGCACAAGAGTTATAAAATGTTTTGTTCCCTCATTCCTAAATCTTATTTACTTCAATAAATCCAATAGGAATTTTTACTTGTTTATGGTAGACCAACTTTGATAATTTCATAATAATTAATTGCATTGCTTGAACAGATGATCTGTTTATCTGAAAGATAGGATATAACCTGAAGTGATTATTTTATAGAAACTAGTGTGAAATTGAAAGCATTATGCCAAAATTTGTGTGAACATACTGTTTACATAATTGTTGTATACTGAAATTTTTTTTGCTTCATTAGTCTTTAGTGAAATGTTTTGTCTGGTTCTCTGTATGAAGGCAACAAATCAACACACATTTTGCAACCATCTAGATTCCTTTTCATAAGATCATTCATAGTCATTCAAATATGACTGTTTATTGTTTTTTGTCTGTAATCCTGTTGCCAAATGTTTGATTTATAGCTCAAAGAAAGATCCTATGCCTTAACCTAGTTGGTCATGAAGAACCTTTAATAAACTCCTCCTATTGTTGACTGTTTATTATAAAATATCTCGAGAAAACTCTAGGGCATACTTAGCAAGTGATATTATAAGAAATGATTTCTCTTTCAAATGAGATGAGATGAGATGGGGAGGGGGTATTATCCCATGCTAAAGAATCCACTCATATGAATCTTGAAATCAAAGAAATAAACCTTACATATTCAGTATAAAGAACCTGATTACTTAAAAAGGAATATAAAAAGTAAAACATGTAACAGGGCATGTCTTCAATGCCAGTAGCCATCATTATTCCATTTCTGTTATTACATTTGTCTTTATAATTTATATAAAACACCATTAAATGGATATATTAGGTAAATTTATTTATTAGAACTGAACTGGTGAAACAAATTTATTTATAAACTGTCTTTAAATTAATTTTGTATGTAAATCCTTGACCCTAGTTTAAAGTATGAGATCCTGAACTATGAAGTGTATGAAAATTCAAACATTCCAAGAAGATATAGTATGACTGCTCAGGTAAACTTGCAGGATTTTTTTTTATTCATAGTGATACTTATATCAATACTTGAACCATCTTCTTGGTAAAGATAGTTGTATATGTCACTACTGACAAAATTTCAAATGCCAATTTCTTCCAAATTTGCTTCATTTGATTGTACTAGATTATTTGATGGATTTTTAAAATAAGATGTGATTATTTGTGGCATTTCTTGACAATGGGAAAATTTTAAATAGAAATTTATTCTTGGGAGAAAAAAAAGTTGGTTATTGGAAAATACTTGGAGAAGAATTGTTTTTTGAACTCATTTTTTCCAGCTTTTATAAATCCATGGATGGTTTGTGCAAAGAAAGTATTTTTTAACAAATGGAATTGAATGGCTTTGAACTATATATATTTGTTATTTTAACTAATAAACCTTGAATTTTATAAAATATATCAATTTTAATTAATTCCGTACAATTGCACTTAAGGAATATTGGTGCTAATTTGTTCCTGCATCACAAGGACAGCAGTTATGTAGCCTAAAATGTCTGTTAGCATTTAACAATGCAGCTTGCCTTTCCTAATTTGTCATTATCAAAAGAGAGAGCTCCAATATATTTTTTAAGTGTAATATGTTAAATATTTTACCTAGTCAATGAGAGAGCCTCATACATTCAAATACTTTTACTGCTAATGAATTTTAGGATTTCACTTTTCATTTCCTGTTTGTCTCAACAGATATTATGCAGATTCCAGAAACACCTGACAGAGAAGGAAAGCGTGTCACAATCACAGTTTACCTGGGATCTAATCCAGACCCATTCAGAACCCCAGAGGTAAGGTCATTTCCATAGTTTGAATAGGTTTTTACAAAATTTCAATGCAGTCTTTTCAAAATATACTACTAGGTAAACTTTGAACATGTAAATATCAAAAAACATCAATTGCCCAATGTAAATGATATATTTTCTGTCCATTTTTTAACAACTTGCCTAATTCTCTAAAATTATCATAATAACAGTATCAGTTGTGAGTAGCTGTCCATTTCTCAAAATTAAGTATGAATGTTAGTAACTGATCTAATTTGAACAAACAGAGAAATATGAAATTTAGCAACTTTAGTGAGATTTTGAAATTGGCTCAATAGTTACAATGTATAAAGAATTGATTTTATACTTTATGTATTGAATCTTGTGGTATTTCAGATTTTTTTCTCAATAAAAGAATTCAAAATCTAGCATAGTTCATTTAAAACTTAATCTGAATCTTAATTTTTATACACTTAAATTTATAAACTGTCATTTTTGTATTGCACGGCCATTCTTGATTTTTACCTTTTAAACAAAGGATAATGATTGTATTTGATATTTGTATATCAAGAACCGTTTTACATATTTTGTCTCTGAATTGACTAAATATTTGAACTTTTGATTCTTTCTGCAGAAACTTCCAGAGGTTCTAATTGGTTCATTGTCTGTAAGTGGAAAAACAAAGTGGGACATCCTAGATAATATTGTTAGAAAAATATTTAAGGTAAGAAACTTTATCTCTTCATATTTTGTTTTTTTCATTATTTCAACTTACAATCATGAACATGTCAGAATTTGCCTTCAAATTTGCCTTTCAATAATGTTGTAACACTGTTTTTTGACAAGAGTTTGCATTTCCAACTGGTCTTCTTTTTCAATTGAATGTTTTTTTGTTTTTTTCTTCTTCGTTGAATTAGACTGTTACCGAGGTATGCTTAAATAAGCATAGCATGGCCAAAATTTAGTTTGAGGTTTTATGACTTCTTTTTTATTATTTCAAATTGGTCACCTGATTTTATATAAATTACAACAAAGATATCTTAATTGTAACAGGCTCAAATAAACTTTTGGTAGTAATTGATACCATTATAATTATGCTTTTTTTTATAAGTGAATATATTAAATAATCTGCTAAATTAAATTTAGATATTACTTTATCTACAAATTACCACTTATCAACTCTTAGGATAAATTCTTTTAAACTTTTAGTTTCTGAAATTGATTTTTTTTCCAATTTCAACAAAAATATATGGCAGTAATTCAGCAGTCTTATTTTAAGGTGAACTTTTTCAAGCTCAATATAGATTATTTGATACATTCTTTACTCTTGTTTTAAATATACAAGTACTCTACTTGAATTTTGGTTATTTGCTTTTACTTACAGGAATATGTTTTAAGAATTGATCCAGTTACCAACTTAGGATTAAGCGCTGAGAGTGTTTTCTCCTATCACATTGGTGAAATTGTCCGCACAAAAGGTAAGTCAGCTACATGCCAGTGAATTAAAAGAATAAGGAAATTTTTAAATTAAGTCTGCTGCTAACAAGAGACATTTGATTTTACCTCTGAAATGCTCCTTCCAAAATGACTGAAGAAACATGCTATAATAACTTGCAACAAATTCTAAATTAGGAACCTAGTAGAAATGTAAAAAAAATAAGTCAATGTCGTTTTCTGAAATGCTGAGATTATTTTCATTATTCTATCTATATTTCAAACTTGTTTTTATCTCATGCTTTAAATATATAAAGTAAAATTTTAAAATTTATATATATATATATATATATATATATATATATATATATATATATATTTTAATATATATATATAAAAATAAAATTAAAAAATAACAATGACAAATTTAAAGCATTTTCAATTATATTTTCAGATGCTGAAGTGCCGGAGCTATTACCAATTGGCTACTTGGTTGGTGATACCATGCAAATTGGTATTTGCCTTAAAGGTAAGCAATTACACTATTGCTTCTAAGAAAGAGAAAAACGAAAACTATTAGTTTATGTTTTCTTTTACAAGATTTGATATAAGAAGAGGTGGGAGAACATGAAAGTTCTTTTTAAAAGCTTCAAGTATGAAATTACTGTGGGTATCCAAGCTGAAAATTAGGGTTTAATTAACAGAAATTATAATAAACTTTTGATTAAATTATTTTTCCATTGACTTAAATATGTCATTTAGCCAATAGATTCTTTGTAACAGTCCCTACTTTCAGTCTGAAAACATTCTTCCCATTGTTTATAAAAATAAAAAGATTGAATATTAAAATTCAAGGCAAAAGAAAGCCTTTATTATCAACAATCTTAAATTAAAAAAAATAACATTTTTGCCATGTAGCTACATTGGAATTGTATTAGTGATGGCTTTCTTCAACTTTCCACAAAATTCTATCAACATATACTGAAGATTTTTAAATTTAAGAAATAAGGGACTTGTCTATTTTCTACAGATGTGTATAGTTTTCTAAAAGATTTTATTGGCATTTAAATTTTTTATCATAACTTTTGTCATCAAGTGCAGCATCATATTAACTCATATCAGAAAAATGAATACATTTTTACCTTTTCTCACCTGCTGGTGATATCCCAACATTTTATTATATACTTTTCTATTAGACTAGCATGCTTGTCTTGGTTGTTATACACATGTTTCAGCTGTTGTATCCTAAAACCTTATGATGATTACCATATTTGGTAACCTTCAAATTTTGAACCAAACTCTTTATTCAATACACAAAGATAGATTGTTTTCATTCCACTTTCTCTGCTTAAGGGATATCTTATATCAATTTATTCAGAGGATACAATGGACATGTTGGTTCAAATAGGTGTATCATTAAAATTCTAATATAAATCCCAATGTTGCCAACATTCAACTTCATACACAATTCCTTGGTTATAATCTGCAGATGAACTGACTGAGGAGCTCTTTATTTTGTGGGCTGATAGTTGTGCAGAGCTGCTCAAAATGTGGCTTGTTGCACACATCAGTGTCACCACTTCAGAAATGCATTACCCACCACCTAGCTGTGCTCACATCTACTATTTGGTCTATGTAAACATTCAGCAAGTGTTGATGAATGTCAATAGATGCATTTTTCTTTTCTTTTTTGTGAAATTCAATGAAAGATTTGTATGCTTTACATGTCAGGATGCCACTCAGCTGCTACTTGTAATATGAATTAAAAATATTAAAGGAAATTATGCATTATTGACAAAAGGTTCAAACTCTATGACTATAACACCTCCTATATTGTGGGTCAGTATAATAAAATAGTAGACGTTATTTTTGGTATATCTTCATATATTGTTATGCTTTTCATAGAGCACAAATGTTACATAGATTCTAAGAAATACTGGGAAGCAACATTTTGATCCTATACAGAGTAAACAGATACTACACTGATCATAGGTTAAAATACTGATCCATACATAAATAATCCTGTCATTTTTATGAGTACTATGCTAGTTATTGATATAATAATTAAAAAAAAAATAAACAGTACAAGTGAACACTTTAAATGAAATGATGCACTATACCTAAGGTAGGCAGAGTTACTAAATATTAAGAACACAATAAAAACTATCGTAAAATTATGATTAAAACTTTCACATAGTAAGTCACAATTTTACAATAGTTTTTATTGTTCTTAATATTTACTCTCTAGATTTGAATGTGAACACATGTATTGATGGTGTATGTTTTCTACTTAGTGGGTGCCATGTTTTACTATTTAAATTTATTGAAATTGCTTGTACGCTTCAAATTAAATTTATTAATTTATAAATACTTTCTTTTTTCTAGGTACCAAACAAAATAGTGTCGACTCACTGGCATTCGAGACTCTAATCCCAAAATCCATTATTCAGAGGTATGTTTCCCTATTACTGGAACATCGGAGAATTATCTTGTGTGGACCAAGTGGAACAGGAAAGACCTATTTGGCACAGAAGTTGGCAGAACACTTGGTACTAAGGTAAGAAGGATTTTACAAACAACTTGCTAAATACAATCTAAGTAATGATAACATTCTTAATGGAACAATAGTGATCATGTTTCTCCACAGCATCCTCCATCCCCAATTGTCACATTACCTTTGCAGTTAATAAAAAAAAAAAAAGTTTAAACTATTCTTTTTATATAGGTAGATTTGTTAATACCATCCAAAATTTAAGAATATAGAACTTTCATGTTCTGAACGAATCTTTCCAACCCTATAATTATGATTAAACCAGCTAGACCAGCAAAACAATATAAATATTTACAATGTAATTGTTAAAAATACACAAAGGGTAAAAAGTTCAAAAATTTCATGCACTTTATTTTTTGTTTCAGATCTGGGCGTGAGCTGACTGCTGGTTCAGTTGCCACGTTCAATGTGGACCATAAGTCTGGCAAAGAATTACGTCAGTACCTGTCCAACATTGCTGAACAGTGCGAAAGCACCAGTGCAGGCGAACTGCCCAGTGTTATCATTCTGGACAACTTGCACCATGTTGGATCTTTGGGAGAAGTCTTCAATGGCTTCTTGAGTGTCAAATACCAAAAGTGGTAAGTGATTTCTTTTCAAGGATAGCAAAACATCAAGTCTTTTGAACCCTTTAGGAATATGGGATAAGAGAGAAAAGAATATGTCTTTTTATCTTTAGGTAGAACAAAGAAAAAGAACAAATAGGAATGAATAAAATGTTGCAATTGGAAGCAATTTTTCTGGTTATTAAATTGTTACCGTTTTTATTACAGCCCTTATATAATTGGAACCATGAACCAAGCTACCTGCTCCACTACCAACCTTCAACTCCACCACAACTTTAGGTGAGTCACAGTCTCCTACTCTTCTTGTAATTAGAGTAAGAATAAAATTCTTTATGTTGTTTGCATATAACACTGTGTACTTGTGACTGATATCATATTTTCATATCAAAGAACTTATTTACTCAATGTTCACTCATTAATTCTTTTCACATCTGTTAATTTATGACCAACTCTGTCAGGTAATATTGTTTTATTTAAAAGAATCTAAGTAAACTAAATAGCTTCTGTTATTTATATTAGCATACTGCTTATAAAATACACTAAAAAGTATAAGCAGATATTGTGTAAACACAAGATTTTGCATTAAAAGTTCTTAATGTTTTGTTTGGCAATAACAGTCATCATCAGATGCAATATTAAAGGAATTTTATGAATACAGAAACGTTTTCCTCAACTTCCTTTAATGTGCTTTACCACAAAGTAAGCAGAGTTTATCATTTTTGGCAAGTAACCTATTTGGGATGATCTTACCACCTGATGATAACTGAAGATTTGTCGATCAAAGTTATAATTTCTAACCAAGAAATTCCCATATTATCTGAAACTGTCATTATTATAAATTTATCTGGTTACTAAATTTAATTTCTTATTAAAAGAACATATTTACTTTTGTAAAGAGAAAAGAATGTGTTTTGCATTGTCTCAATTTAGGCTCACAATCTTTTTTAGATGCAATTTTTTGATTGCAAACTTCAATGAAGACCAAGTCAAAAAAAATTCTTTGCTTACAATCTTCCATGGCATAACATCCTGCAATTCTCTGGTATTCTAGTGGCTCTCAAGCCAGTCTTCCTGCTGTCCAACTCATCAGTGTCAACCTTCCAACTCCCAGCTTACCATTGTGCCTTTTTGAATATTCTCATCTTTTTTTTTTTTTTTTTTAAATGAATTTTTTACTCCTGTCCCATATACACAAAATCTTTCTTGTATTTGGTTGTACTAATAGCTTCTTTTGAATTATCAGGTGGGTTCTGTGTGCAAATCACATGGAACCAGTTAAGGGATTTCTAGGTCGATATTTACGGCGCAAACTTGTTGAGGCTGAGGTGCACATGGGTACCAGAAACAACGACCTCAACAAAATCATTGATTGGATCCCGAAAGTGTGGCAACACCTAAACAAATTCTTGGAAACACACAGCTCATCAGATGTTACTATTGGTAAGTATTAAAAATAGTGAATGTTCATTTTCAGATGAGAAGCCAAAGAAAAATATTCATTTGAAATTATGGCAAAAAAGGAAATTTACCTACATATTTAATATAAACTTATAAATTAAAATACAATAAATCAGACTAAATTGTTCATGTTGTATTTTGATCTCTTTTTTTTAATTAGGTGTGAATAATTTTTTCTTTTTGACTAAAATTCAAATATAATTATTTTTTTTTTGTTAAATAAAAAAAATATGCTGAACAAATTTAAAAAGATTTCAAATCAAGAATTCTGTTTAAAATTATCTTCTTATGCATAACAAACATTTGGTATTGTTTTGCAATAATTCCTTTCTTATACTTTTCAGGTCCCAGACTTTTCTTATGTTGTCCTATGGACATTTCTGGTTCTCAAGTCTGGTTCACAGATCTTTGGAATTATTCCATTGTTCCCTACCTTTTGGATGCTGTTAAAGAAGGCCTACAAGTGAGTAAAAATTTGACAAAAATTCATTTGAAAGAATAATCTTAAAAAACAAAAATTAACAATGCTGTATATTATGTGAATGTGATCTAGTTTAAAAACAATGTTTGTGTGAATAATACAAATAATTTGGGGTTTTATTTCCAAGAGGCATGAATGCATGGACTCACTCAGTAAAACTCCACCTTTAATTTTGTTTTGTCTGTAGTCCAGATCAAGTTATTTGTCAAAGTGGTTCCCAACCAAGAACTGATGAAATCTTAAGATTAAGCCTTCCATCCATACATAAATATCAAAGTTATTTAAAAAATATGTATAAGTCTCCTAAGGGTAAAAAAAAACAATTGTCAACTTTCTTTTTTTCTTTTTAGTACTTTTATAAAAACAGATTTTCATTTCATATATATATATATATATACATATATATATATTTTTTTTTTAAACAAAACTTCATGTCCCAGTAAAAGAGAAGTGAGAAAATATTTTCTATTACAAAAATTATCAAACTAAAAATATATAAAAAAATTACAATACATTCTAAATTTATATTAGAACATTTCTTGTAATAAAGTAAAAACTCTTCTAAAAGAATAGATAATCATAAAAATTAACCATAAAATTCTTTATATCTTTGAAAAAAATTACTTAGCAAAAATAGATATGGTAAAGAGATATACAACCTTAAACAAAATATTTAATATATATGAATCAGTTTTTCATTAAAAAATATTTAATACTTATTATCTTTAGTGCTTTCAGCTAGAAAAAAATTCAGGAAATCTATAAAAGACTATAATGGTTAGCATAAAGAATTTGTAACAAGAGATTCAGTGAATGTTTTGGTTAAATAATTACAAGTAATCATTTTATCAATAAATTTACTGAAATATCTAACTACTTAAAAGTATATGATTCTAAAAATTTAAATGTTTTTTTTTTCATTTAATATTTAATCATCCTGCTTCATTTTGAAAATAAAGTAAATATTACATTAACAAATAAATATCTTGCAGCAAATTTCATATCAGAGAGAATGTTAAATAAATGATTAAACAAAACATTCACTCAACCTTTTATTTTAAAATTTCCAATGGTTTAAATCTGACTTCTCATGCTTTTGATTTCTGTCATTTTTTGGCATTAAATCCCACAAAATATTTGCCATTTTATTTTTTTTTATTAAACTATATAAAATTATATATAATTTAAAAAAAAAAAATCAATCTTTGTTTGGCAAAAATAATACAAAACAGTTGTTAATGTTGATTTATGGTTGGGAACCACTCACTGGCTATCATCCTTATCAGAAAATATTGTTAAAAAGAATTGAAACAGAAAAGTGTATATAAATTGAAAAAAATATCTTTGATTATTATTTGTCTTATCTTTTGACCTACCTACCTACCTACCTACCTGCAGTCACCATCCATCTTGAACTTTTTTTCACAACCCAAGTGTGTGGATAGTATGTCTTTGTCCTGTGTACACACCTTCTCCGCACACACAACCACCCAAATTACTATATAAAATCTAACATACCAGTAGATGATTTTTACTGACTCAAACACACAAGAACCTTATCAAGTAATCTGTAAATGAAGAGAAAGTAATCCTATTTCAAATTAATCACATAGTCAAAACTTCATATCTGTTTATCCTGTATATTCTTAAGCTCATTGACTGTACACAAGTAAAATTAGTGTTCTGACTATAGATTATATTTATGCTATTACAAATAGCATAATAATCCAATGAGAAAATTATAATCAAAATTATACAAGATATGAAGGAACTGGAAATCAGACACTAAACCATAATAATCAAGTCCTTCATTCAACTTAGAAAATATTTGACATTATTACTTAAAAAATATTTGTAAATAAAATACTGTTTGGTGACAGAATATATACATACATACATAATGTTTGGCAAATGAATTATGATTGAACATATAATAAATTTTAAAGAATATAATTTACAAAGAATTTTATTAAGATAAAAGTAATGCTTTTAATTCCAAATATTTTATGCAACAAAATTTACAAGGCAGCTGTTTAAATTTATACATAATTTATCTAAAAAAAAAAAAAAAAAAAAGTACTATATCCCCTGATATAGCAATTTGTTGGCATAAAATTTAAATGAAATGTTAAAAAACACATTTTTATATTTTTTTCTTGAATACCATATATCAAATCACAAATGACAACCACCAGCAAAAAGTATTGTGGTCATTTCTATTTAAAATGTACTATCACAATCAATGAAAAGGTAAAACCTATATTCATATAATCATCATTTTTATACCTCTTTGCATATTATTTGTAATCCTATCTACAGTTTTCAATTCTATCATTGAACTATCAGAATTGCAGCAAAACTTTCACACATTTGTACTAACAATTCTGTAACTTTCTTAAATCTCAATTGTTAAAAAAATAATTAAAAATTTTAAAATACTGTAAATATTACCACACCATGCAGTGGTCAATCTTGTCAGCTCTAAGATGATGAAAAAAAATAATAGCTAACTCAGATATAGTTTAAAAGCTATGAAACCAAGATCAATTCTTTATACTGCATAACAGAGTCTGTATTTACTTATTATAAATTATTAAAATAAAAAATCTATTTTCTTTTGTGGTCATTTTTTGAAGTAATATTTAAGTTTCAAATAACAAATCCTTTGGTTTTCATGATGCCTTTGTCAGTAAAGGAAATCAACCTGTAAATCCATTTAACTAACTGCACTTTTTATAGACTTAGTTGTGTGCAAAATGTTGTGTATCCATTGATTTAAATTGTTGCTTCCAACCAACCACCTCCTGTTTTTCTCCCAGTCACGTAAACTGAATGACAATGAGGTAAGTATGTCATCTGTCGTCCCCTATCCCTCCAGCATGCTTATTCATTATTCTTCCTTCTGTAGTATTATATTGTAGTTGTTATGATGACTTTCGCTATGGTGGTGTAAGAACTTCTGGGGCTCAAGGGAGACTACTCTTAGCGATCACATTTGGTACAAGCAGGAACTGTTGTGCACTTCACCTTGTTTAAATGGTTTAAATCAAATCGAATTTATTACGGGCTTTTTTTTTTTTTTTTCAAAAATACATTTTTACTAGAGAACTTATTTAGGTAAATATGTGCTTCTTTTGTAACTGGTTGTGTGAATAAACCTAAAATTATCAATCATTGTAGTAATAAGAAAGAAAGAAAGAAAATTAAGACTGCTTTTCTAATTTATTTTTGAAACGGATGATCACTTATAAAATTCCTTTCCAAATTTAACTATTCAGAAATAAAAATCAATCTTTGGTAGGTTTATAAAGATACTGTACAAAAAGACTTACTGATATCACCTACTCAGAAATGTAGTTGAACATATCAATTAGCATTTTAATAATTTATTGAGTCAGAGAATCATTTTAATATCATTATCAGAATTAATGAATTCATAGTAATTTAAAAAGAATTTTCCCTTCAAAGCTCCTGGTCTTTTTTTTATTTTTTTTTTTTATTGTTATATGCATGATTTTCATATCATAACTTTCATATCAATGATTATTCATTCAGTGCATGGCTGATATTCTAACATTAAGATTCTGCACAAAACTTTCAATCTTTTCATATTTTGTGTTGTCTTTTTTTATGTGACAATTCTGAAATCCTCTTAAATATGAGGAAGGTGGTTAGAATTTTTCACTAAATTCTGAATTTTATTTTCATGGACTATCATTGTAATCAGGTATGGTTATTTTTGGAATGTTGTCTGCATTTAATGACTGCTGTTTTTCATAAATATATGAAACTGTGTATTCTGTATTACCACATTAGGATTAAAGGTATATATTGATTTGTGGTTAATGATTAGTGCTAAGAAAAGAAATTGGGAAAATTTTTTCAAAAAGTGGTCGTAGGGTGAAAGCAAATTTCAAAAACCAGTAATTTTTACCTAATTCTTCAGATTATCTAAGTAACCAATTTTTCTTTAAAAAATGCATGAATTAATCCAAGCACTTAGTTTAGTTTCACTTTAAGCTCATCACTTTCTTAATACAATTACAATAACTGATAGTTTTGCTTTAGCAATTTTATTCACTGAATATTTGGAGAATCATTTTCAACTCATCACTGCTTCCCTACCCTATACACTTCTCTTTATTACCAAGTACTTCATATGTGCATGCCACATAGCTCAAAGAAAATAAATGCACACATGGTAAGTATTTGTACTGAGGAGAGAGAAGATTTATCTTTGAACAAAGTTAGTATTAATGTGCTCTTAATAATGAAACTGTTTCTTGATATTGTGAAATTCTTTTTTCTATTTCTTTTGATAAATATATATAAATAAAAAAAAAAAAAGAAAAGACTCATTTTGGATACTCTTAAATTTTAGAATATTTCTTTTACTTGAATACAATAAAATCACCACACATTTAATCAAAACAATTCAATTATACTGTGAAAACCAAATTATTTTCCTGTGATTGTCTTTCCCATACATAAAATTTTTAAACATTGTATGTTGTTGAAGTCTCTGGTGCCCTCTCTCTTTTGCATATTTGTACCTTTAGTGCTTACTACCTTTTGTTACATTTTACTTACCTACAATAGGAATATTGTCCACTTTGAGTGGTTAAAGTTGAATAAACATGTTTTTTCCATTTAAAAAATTATACAGAACTGTAAAATGATTAGACAATTTCATGACACATTGATATCTACATGGGGTTAAATACCATGGTAAAGCTTTCTTTATTTTTGAGAAATGTTTTAAGTGCTATTCTAGGTGGTATATTAAAAAAATTTACATCATGAATATGCTTTTCCTGCAGGTGGAAGGAAGCCTGCAAATAAATCCTTAATTATTCATCACTTGTTTATTTTAGCAATAAATCCCACTGAATATATTTTGGGAGGATACTGTAACATGAAACCATCAAAGTGCAGATTTCAACTTGAGTTAACTTATTCACAAGATTACATCTGCCTTAAGATCTTGTTTTAAATATGGTAGAATGTAACAAATGAAACATTATTTCTCTATTCCTACTTTCTCATAAAGCTTCTCATCCTTACATGCCTTCACATTAACAAATGTTTCTCTACAGCAGGAGGAAAAACATTAGTATCATTTCTATTGCATAAAATTGTATATGTACACAGAAACTCATCTGTCATGCATATTAGCTTTTCATAATATACACATGAGATATTTTTGCTTATTTTAAATTGCATCTTAAATATTTCATATTTAAGAATCTATACAAAATCTTTATTAATTACTTCCAACATAAGAACAGAGATAACCTTTTGAAATTAATATATATCATTTTCTGAGTGTCTGAATAGAATATATATTTTATTTTACTTTCACCCTTTGAATGAAAAGATTTCTACTTGTGTCAGACTGAGATTTCCAAACACAGTTTGATTTCAAGAGAGATGTGTGTGTATATATATATATATAAGAAAAAATTCAATTATCTCTCTCTCTCTCTATATATAAGAAAAAATTCAATTATCTCTCTCTCTCTCTCTCTATATATATATATATATATATATATATATATATAGAGAGAGAGAGAGAGAGAGATAATAGTTGAAATTCTTTTTTTTTTTTCATCTACTAGACAAAAAAATCAAACATTCACAAGAGGCTTACATACTCATTTGTCAAATCCAATATCAAAATTGAACAAACAAAATTTTGAATATACTTATCAAACAAACATTTCTATTGCCTATGTTAATTATAATCTTTTATAATTTGCAACAATTCTCAACTGAAATAAATTATTTTTATTTACACTTTTTTTTTCATCTTTCAGGTTTATGGAAAGAGAGCCCCCTGGGAAGATCCAGCTGAATGGGCAATAGAAAGTTATCCCTGGGCCAATTCAGGCAATCATGATGCACCATCCTTGCAACGCCTGCGTCCAGAAGATGTAGGATATGACACTCAAGGTGTGCCCCCAGATTCTCCTCAAACTAAACGGGAGAATAATACATCAAGTGATGGCATAGATGGTGACCCCTTGGTTGGTACCTATTACTTTTTTGCCTTCCCCCCTTTTCTTCCTTCCGTCCAGTCAACTCTGGATCAGGCATCAAGTAAGAAAAGGTGATACTGTGGATCACTGAGCAACAAGTCAACTCTAAATTTGAACACTGTTTCAATTCTTATCTTTTATATATTGTGTAACTGTTTATATGATTGAAATGCAAATGCATCTTTGTTATAAGTGATCTACAGTTCAGAAGGATTTTCATTTAAGACTTGTTTCAATTATCTCTTATTCATAACTTATGATGGCCAGAATTTTACATTACCAACTCCTCACAGAGTACAATGAGGAAACATTTGTTATGATCTTACAAAGGAAGGCATAAAAATGACATTAAAACTACAGAATGAAAATATTAAAAAAACTAAACATTCATCTTGATGACTCATTTAATGGCTACAGTATCACCTTCCGAATTTCATTTTTCTTGCTTGTTTTATTTGGTCTTTGTTTTGTTCTTTGGTTTGGCAATGCCACTGTCAAAATATTGATGCTTTTTATTTGTAGTGAATTTTACTTCTGTTGTTGATCTGCTGTGAATGGAAGTCTTGTTAAGCACAAAACAATATTAACATTGATAAAGGAATTCTAAATTGGCAATTTTCTCTATAAGCTTATTAAATGGAGTACAATTTTGAAATCTTCAGCTATTTTTATAAATTAGAATTTTACTGAGATATTGTTATTTAAAATAATTGCACTAAACAGAAAAGTTATGTCATCAGAAAAATTGATAACTATTTTCAGTCAATAAAAATAAAAACATTTTTTATCTTAAACTCTGAATAACCATGTATTTTATAAAAACATTTTTGAATGTTAATAATTAGGAAAAGTTTAAAATTCAACAGCATTAAATCTTTTCAGGTTCATAAGAAGCACACTATTTTTGATAGATATCATTAAGGGAAATGAATTTATCAAGTTAGAAAATCAAACTATTTACAATTAGTCTTCTTTTTTGCTTTCATTTTACATTTAGTTTCTCCGAGTACAATAAGGAATTTAACAGGTTTTAAAAAATAGTTTCTTAGGATATCTTATTGACTGAATATTTCAATTAAACGATATTTACTAGTTGGAAAACTAATCAATTCTTTTATGGTTAAGCTTAAAATATTTTCTTTATGTACTCAATGAAAAAAAAGAAAACCAACTTACAAAGGACAAGAAAAAAACAAACTGTTACCCACTTCCAAAAGAGTAATTGGGATTCAGTCAGTGATGTATCATCTGTCATGAGACTGTGTTTTTGCAAATTTCATGCCCATATAGTAGCCAATTTTCTTTATCTATCTATTTGAAATACTATAACTAACATATGTCTACCCAACACTGGAAACTAAACTACTGAACCTACAACTTGCAGTCATTATGCTTGTACATTGTACTCAAAACATTCATAATGTGACTTGGAATTTAATTTAGTGATATGGACTTTAATTAATGTATAACAAAGATACTTAAACCTGCAATGTTTTAGTCTTTTGCTTAGTCACTGCTTAAACCTATGCACACTTGCTAGTGTAGCAAAAATTTCCGTTACCTTGGGAAAAAATAAAACTAAATAAAGCATGACATAAGTGGTTTGTATATCTATTTTTCATCTTTTAGTCATCATTTGTTTCTATCTTTTCAGACTGAATGATGTTGACTGCTTTTCTTGTTTCTAATGAATAGCTAACTAATTATTTTAATATCTCCAATTCAGGACACGAGTCAATATTTAAGCTGGAAGACAGGGTCAAGCCAATGTCTGAAGTCGAACATAAATATTTGCTGACATCCCCCTATCCATGAAATCATGTAAGTTTTACCTCCCCCTTCCCTATTTCACTTTCCCCTTCACCCACATCAGACAGACACTCCCTTCTTCCCACAGAACAAATAAACAATACCATCCTTTTATCAATGATCACACATGCAGTCTGGTAGGGCAACAGACAGGTTGCTATAAAGAACGCTCCTCTTGTTCGTCTCTGTGTTTCATTAATGTCTCCCATTATGTCACATATCCTCTATCTTCAGTAATTTTTTTCATTCATGTTGTAAATTCATCATGTGTCATATTTCTTCTCCATGCTTCCAACCATTGAATTCATTAGAATTTTTTTTTCTTACATCTCTGTAATCTCAGCATTGTTCAGTTGATTTTTTTTTTTTTTGCATTTTTCCATCAACTAAACCTCCATGTCAAAACAGTCATCCATGTCACCTGTCTTGTTTGCATCATTCATGTTATATTCCCTTCCTTCAGTCAGATTTATTATTTAAACTCCACTATGTTCACCATTGTCATTGTCTTTCATTTGCATAAGTCCCCAGAATACTATGACTAAAATTAAGCCCTGACATCTCAAATAACTACTGATTTGACCTCATCTAAGTAAACCAAACCTTAAAAATGAAAACAAAACTTGAAAACAGTTGTTGAACAAGAATAACATTTTGAATAAGCTCAATATTTAATGTATTCACTTTAAAATCCAGATAAATTACAAGAGTATAAACTCTAATATTTTATAAAGTTTTATTTTTTAAATTCTTAGAAAAAGATTTATAGTGCTATTCCAGCACTTTTCAATACATTGTTGATCCAAAAGTCATTTCATTTGTTTGCAAAATTCATTTACTCCTCTTCGAATTCACCTTTCATCTGACTAACCCACAACACCTGCCATCCATCTACCTGCTTACCTGTGATCCACCCTTGTAGTCAGCCTTACCCCTCTACCTTTCCTTTCTCCTGATGTAACAGCAGTCACAGACATTGGCAATGTCTTCTGGCACCAAATATGGAGGTATAGTTGTTGCCACTTTATGTGATGACCTCAGATTCTTTTTCTATGTTCTCCTCATTTCCTAGGACTATGTTGATATTTAATTTGCTCGGCAGTGTTACATTTAACGATTACAACTAAAACTGGAAATAACAATCAGTGTCAAAATTTAATGAAACATTAAATGTCCCATTAGTGTGAAAGCCAACACAAATACAATTTGGATAAGTATAAAGTTCTATTTTTATAAATTAGAATCGTTCTAATCTATGAATTTGATCATTTTTTTTTTTTTAATGCAGAAACAGATATTAACCAACTGGACAATATGTCAAAGTTTATATCTTAAACATGATTAATTTGAATATGAAGAAAATTTAAATAGTTTTTGTTAATCTTTAAATAAATCAAATTGCAATGATTTATTTCCTTTTGAATTCACTTTAGAAATTATTTCAGATGAACTTTGTTAGAAACCTTAATCCTCATTGTTCTTTGATATTGTAACTTTTCAGGTACAGTGGATTAAACAAGACTATCCAATGAATTTACATCTATCTTTTTGATGGTCTATAACCAGAAAGTATTCAACCAACATTTTAACAATTGTATATAGGGGTCAAAAAGTAAAGAAAGAAAAAAAGAACACTCTTCCAGCTTCACCATTAATGGGGACAACTTAAAATATTGACTTTTGTCAAAGTGGTATAAAAATGGATTTGTACTAATTGTTTTGTAATTAATTCTTGACTGAATTTTTTGTCTAATAACTGCAGTTGTCACTCCTTTTTAACCCTTCTTATGCCCATCTCCCTAATCCATGAATAGCCTCATACATGTCTGGAAGGAAGGAAGGAAAGGAGGAACCATGTACCGCCAATGTGTCACAGAAGACCATCAGCTAGTACATTTTTTCTACTAATATTGCATTGTTTTAAATTTAAAATAAAATTGATTACACTATTAGTATTTTGGATTAGTATATTTGTTTTCATTGTTTTTATTTAGTAAAATATTTCATGGGTGGATTTTTTGATAATCATCATGTAATATATTGTAGATATAATTTTCTATATTATCCAGAGGTTAATTTTGACATAAAATTTAAAAGAAACATACATTGAATATATAAACAGCACTCATATACTAAATAAAATGACTTTGAATACAGTTAAATGACTCCCTATATATATTTTTTCTTTCAACTGTTATGCTGTAGAGAGAAATGACTTGTTGTGGCTTGATAATAAAATACTGCTTTTGTTTACATAGCCACAGCATAATAGTTAAATAGATCCTCTTCTAGATTTCACTCATCTCCTCTAATAGTTTATAATATTGTGAAAACATCTTTTTCTTTTTAATTCTAACTTAAAAAAAGATCCCCTTCCATAAAATGCAACTGTTATTCGTAAGATAACAGAAATGGATGATGTTCATTATTTCAAACTTGTGTAAATTTAACAATTATATAACTTGTTCAATAGATTAATAAAAATTCAATCCACTAATCAACTTCACATTTTCATAGAATACTGCACATCAGGGTCTGATAAATCTATTGAACTGTTACTAGATGTCAAATTCATGAACACTTATATAATTTGGAAAATAGATACTTAAACTATTCAAGCTTACTAATTATTTAGTTTAACTTGTTTAGTTTAAATTACTTTGTATAACTTATAATAACCATAAATTTTAATTATTTATCCTTCAACTTAGTAGTTGAATACTGTTTTTAATTTGAACATAAAAATTGGCACACTGTGTTACCTGAAGATAATTAGAAAAAAACAGCAGGAAAAATGTATTTAAAAACAAATGTAAAATATGAAGATTAAAGTTCCTGAATACTTATAAGTTTATTCAGTAATGTTATGTCTGCATTTAACAAGTAGTTTGGAATTTGGCAGGAAGAGATCTGCATGAAATTTAAATATAGCATTATCAAAAATGCACAAAAATACTTACCAGAAAAAAATAGAAAAATAGTTTTTAATAGTGTGTATCTTGTGAACAAAGTGGAAGCACTTACTTTATTTCTTAATGAATTGGAAGCACTTTCTTTACACATTCATACATTTTTTGTCTTCACTTTTTAATTATTTTTTGCATATTATTGAATTTAGCCTTGACTTATATTTTGTTCTTCATTTTTTTTAAGCACCTGAGCAACTTTTATTTAAATTTATCTCTTAATGTGGAAAATAGCCTTGTTGATCACCAGCATGCTAGCTCTTGTATTAGCAACTATGACAACAAACACACAATAGATTT